TTTTAGAAAAAAACAAATAAAATCAATAATCAAATTCAATACATTAATAGAAAAGAAAATAATGAACAAGAAAACAAAATAATTAGAATATGGGAAATAAAAAGAAAGAAAAAAAATTAAAAATTAAAAATTAAAAAAACCGAGTTAATAAAAAAAAATAATAATTATAATAAAAAGAAAAAGTCAAAACCCCACAGACTAAATACAGTAGCAAAATGATACATCCAGCATGGATCACCTCATGTGTCAGTTTACCGCACCAGTGGAAATGCACCCACTGTGGTTTACTGGGATGCTGGATCTCGGAAAACTGAGTAGTAGACTCTATCTTGCAGGCGGGTGCAGGCCGCCAAGTGGAACACCCTTCAATGGGCTGATTGTTCGTTCGCCAAACTCCCTAAAAATGGCGCTAAATGCCGAACTAGTTAGTCATTCACCAGCTGTGCTTTTGTTTCCCAATGTCCTGTGGTCGCGTTTTCGCCACACTTTAGTCCCACGATATGCACGAGGGATGCGTTTCAGGTCCGGAGGCATCTACTGGTTAGGCAAGGCTTCATCCGAGATCAGAGGAAAAGCACAACATCATGGATACTCCCTGACTCACTTCCGTCAATTGAGTTTTCAGGTACCAGACTTTTGCCTGGATTATGACTGAGACGAACTCCGCGAAAGCCACACTTCCCAGCTCAGCCACATCCCGGCCACAGTAAAATGGGAGACCAGCTGAATGAAACCTGAATGACGGGCATCAAAAACAATGAATTTGACAGCCTCAGGCGGAAAATCCTTCCCGCTCAGGATCATCATGACTGTCACGTCTGCCCAACCTGCTCGGCTCTGGTGGCGAATATCTGCGATCCACAATCGTCTACGTCAAGATATTGCCCCCAACGCATGCGAGACAGCTATCCACTCTACCTTCGGTATCCTCGCTCATTCCCTCCGACGTTGCTTCGCAATTGCATAGCACCCAATAACTGCACTCCTTGCAGATTGTCACGTCTCATCATCCCGTGGGGACACAGGGAGCTTGCAGGCTGCTCGAACCCATCATATCGCCAATGTCAAAACTACTTTTATCTGCACGTTGCCACAAACAAACCTGGAGAAGTACAGACGAATGATTGTCGTCCGTCTACCGTTTGTCTGCCCTGGCAGCAAGGGTCCTTCCACTATATCACCAGGAGAAGGATACCCATCGTAACAACCATAGTCGGAGTTATGCTATTAAATATCATTCGCGTCTAGCAACATGCATGTTCATACGTTCGACATTCAGTCCTTTTCGGCAATAGCCTGCAGCCGTTCATCAATCTCATCCTCCGTCAGAGCCCGGAAATTGACATCTGTGCCCTCTTGACCATCCGTCCGAGGGCCGCCAACGATTCCAATCTCCAATTCGTGCTTCTTGAAATCAACACTAAGCACGTTGCTCAAGGCTGTGATTCCCAATTCGACAACGTCCTCCCAACTGCCCTCGGCGTAATCCTTGTTCTTCAACTTCTTTTCCAGGTAAGTGATCGCCTCCTGCTGTTTCGGACCAGATGCGGTGGCCTTGTATCCGACGTAGTAGCCTGCAGGGTCGCATTTGTAGACCTGTGGGCCATTCTCTGAGTCGACAGAGATCAGGGTCATAGCGACTCCTAACGGGCGCATGTAAGCCTAAAAAATATTTGCGTCAGTCCACATAACCGCCTTTTGACCAAGATGAATGACACATACCCTCTGTGTGTAGACCTGATTGATATTGGCAAGTCGCTTCGCAAGAACATCACAGGGCATTTCATAACCGTATTTGTATCGGAATTCCGCCGCCTCTCCACGAGCACGGTCAACGGAAGCCCTAGCATCCGCTATAGAACCGGTCATCACACAACCAACAGAGGGAGAGAGCCGGAAGATATGTGAAACGGAGGATGGATCGATCAGTTTATCCTAAGGTATCGATTAGACAAGGTCGGGACTCGGCCATGTACGGCGGTGTAGCTTACAGCAACTTTCTTCTGAGACAACACCACGGCGCAGTTCTTTCCCCTCACACCCAACGAGGTTATGTTAGCCGAAGTGATGGCTTTAAAGGCATATTCTATTGATCACGGAACATGGTCGATCAGCTATCCAGTTGTCTTATGGCGATGGTCCCCACATGTTCGGGGTTGACGTCGAACTGTTCCTCGAGGATGTAGCCGTCAAATGGAGGCACTCACCGACTTGATACAGACGACCTTGGTCCGAGAAGATTGTAATATGTCTGTCGTATGCGCTTCCTACTCGCAAAATGAAGGTCAGTAATCGATGAAGTCATGGTACCAGGCCAATCAATCTAGCCAAGGACCCTACCAGACATGATGGCGATGAGTGTATATAGTACTCGGAAAAGTAACTAAGCGGGAAAAGCAAGAATGAAAGCGACAAAGAATGTATCGCAAGGCACAAAGAGGGGGAATGGACGATGGAGGATGATGAGGTTCGAGAGGACGCGTGCCAGAGGGTGCCTGAGGGCCGAAGCTCTGAGCTATTGAGTAAGCTCCGCTGTCACCGCCTTTGGACAAGGCATACCAATTGGCGGATTTATGAATTTATCCTTCAAGTTAGTATTATTTCTACAAGGTCAAGATTATGGCTCGTTGGATTTTATACCTTCATAAATACGTTTTGAATAGTATAAGTTCTGAAAATACTGTTCTATCTGTATATAACGGGTATACATGGCAACTAACAACAGGTGAATCATGCCACCAGTTTGACGAACTCCTTCATATGCCTAGACCAGGTATCCAACTTCTCGCTAAAGACTTCTCGAATATAATCCTTGTGAACTTTTTTTGAACATGCGACACAGTGCGAGCATGGTCTCCAAGATAACCACCTCGAGCAAAAGCGTAGGAGAAAGGACGAGTAAATAGGCCCGAACAACCTACGCGATGAAAATTCAAGAAGAGGAAGAAGATGACGATGACGAATCACTTGAGCTTGTGCTTTCAGAGTCGCTGTCACTGCTCGAATCAGAAGATGAATCCCTGGGTTTCACGTTCTCCTTTTTGCTAGTTGCAGCATCATCGTCGCTGTCGCCGTCGCTGTCACTAGAGCTTTCACTTTCACTGCTGCTTGATATTTCCACAATAGCAGTCCGGTTCTTCTTCTTCTTCTTCTTATTTGCTTGGTTCTGGTTCTTCGCGCCCTTTCCTTTCTGTGCAGGAGACTTTGGCTTCTGGAAGTTGAAGAGTGTGCCATTGACTGCATACAAGACGAGTTCCGCTCGCTGTCTCATTTCAAGCTTCTTCAACGCATCGCCTCCCAGCTTTTCTGTAGATACAGTCGTATTCAGCTCATCTTGTTTGCCTTGGGACAAACACTCCCTGAAAGCGCCAAGAGCGTTGTCATAGTTCTCCTTCTCAGACGGTACATGTTCCGCAGACTCGTCCGCGGTGCTTTCTTCCTTATCATCGGATGAACCCTCCTCGATCTCTGCCTTCACAGCTTCCTCAGCAATCTCACGTAACCGCTGCTTAGCACCTTCACTCTTCAAGCCCTGAAGATACACAAGTAGAGCAGCATTGTACTGGGTCGGCACTTGTTCCAACGAAAGAACATGTTTAAAGAGATGTGTTTCGCGGTTCTTCTGAAACTTCCACGCTGACCGATATTTGTAGTAAAGACTCAGGTAGGAGAGAATAGGAGTTTCATGAATCTTCGGGGACGCATCACTCGCTGAATCGCCAGCCGTCGACTGATCCTTCTTCTTCTTCTTTTTCTCCTTCTTCTTCTTCTGCTTCTTCCCTCCATCCTCGGCATCAGCATCGGCATCCATATCAACATCGCTCTGAGCATCACGACCAGGCACCTCCTTCTCCTCTACCTCAGTCGAGAAAGAAACCTTCTTCTTCTTCTTCTTCTTGCGGGACTCGTCCTCTTGCTCCTCAGCTGCAGGTTGTTCTTTCTCATCCCGCTCATCGTTATCATCGTCATGTCGTCGTTTTTTGTTCTTGCGCGACTTCTTATCCTCTGGCTCGGGCTCGGGTTCGGCATCACTCTTCTTCTTCTTCTTTGAATCTCTCTTCTTTTCTTTCTTTTCCCTCTTTTCGCCCTTGTCCGTATTTTCCTTTTCTTCTTCTAGGGGGTCTTTGGCGTATTTGAGCTTCAGACCTAACTTCTTCCACGCCGGGACGTGCGACGGCTGGGAAGATTCTTCGCCCGACATTGCGGCAAATTGTGGCCTCCTTTTTTCAATCTCCGCGAAAGAAAAAGTTCGAGTCGCGTATATTAAGGACTTTGAAAAAGCGATCGAGAAAAATATGCAGGTAAGACCTAAATGGTGGGTGTGGGTTGTGTGAATTGATCGTTTGGATTGTATTGTAGAAAGTTTTTGGGAAAATTTCCACGTGAGTTGCGGAAGTTTAGCAACACCGCGGAATTAAATCTAATAGACCCAACCTTTACTAGAGAGGCCCGCCTCCATTTTAGAACATGGTTGGGATTTATTTATGTGCGTATTACCTTTCAGTTTGAATCTCTCACGGTTACGAAAGGTGTTTCTAGTATGTAGGTACATGTATCAATGACCGTAAAATCGTCACTTGCATTATCTATTCATGCCATTAAATTTTGCCCTTCCTATTCCTTGACTCCGGTTCTACAGTTCCAACCCTAGAAGATGCAAACCCACGATTCATTGAGGTGAAAAGTACATTATGGTGCATTGGCACCCGAGCCACTGGCGCTTTCTGCCCCGTTTGGATCTCTTCTCTCTTTCTTCATTTCCTTTTGTGCATTACCTTCTGCGGCTTTGCGGCGGAGTCTTTCCCTGTCTCGCGAACCCGTCGCTGTCCTCCGCTTTCGTACCGGTTCGTAAAAGTCGTTGAAATTCATTACTACAGCGAGGAACCGCATATCTACATCTGGCTGGTATGCTAGGTCGCCCAGGAGTGTATTCAACCGCGACCGAAACTCGGCAGATAGATCGCGGAGTCGAACACGTAGGGACGCAAGCATGTGGTCGTCCGCTGAAAGGTCCTGGCCAATGAGGGACGACGGTGTACCTATATCATCGGCAGTGTTCCCAACATTCGGCGTGGACATCGATGATACCGAGTTTTGGTGTCCACGAGTGCGCCGGGATGAGAGAAGATCGCGTTCTGTAACGCCCCATCGGCCTTGTGCGGTTCGCGTTTCGATTTTAGCACTGAGTTCTTGCCTTCGAGTGAACTCCGCAACAGAGAAGGAGTATAACCCATCGACAGCATCTTTATATGCAAGCATGATCTTCAATATCTGGTGTAGTTGAGTCAAGAAGCTCTCTTCTTGATGCTTGTTTGAGGACGAGCTCTTGGATGAAGAGGAGGAACCTAGCAGGCCCTTGTGTGTAATCGAATCGAGATATTTGGTGTGTGCTTCGATCAGATCATCCAGCGTACATCCTGGCTTAGAAATAGATGCTTGCAACTGATCCCAACTGGCCTCAATGACTTCGAACAGGATATAATATTGTAATTGGCAGACAAAGTGTATCATTTCAGCAATGGCGCATCTTGCCCCTTTCCAATCAGGCCCTACTTTATCGTCGACACTTCTCAGTACGCCTCTGGCACCGGTCATACATCGTCGCCAGGTACTACCCAGGGCAAACTCGACCCGCTTCACGCGCCATAGGAAATTGAAGACTTTCAAATATTGAGTAGAGCCCCAGGGTGTAATGACTACATCAACTGGCGCATCTATCTTATATTCGAGCGTGAAACAGTCCCAGCCAATCTCACCGTGACTGAGCTCGAGCATCCGAGCATCTAGGCGGCGAAGGACATCTGACGAGTCATATTGAGCATTCGAAGCACGAATGGCATGCTCCAACTGAGCCGTGAGCGTATGCCTGTACTGGGAATTAGCAGGACGGTCAAGGTTTGAAGCCAGTGATTCCATCAATAGGGCGATGAAATCACCCTGTCCCAGCAACAAGTATTTCTTCAGCGCCCGAAGATGATCGAAGAGTTTGAACTTTTCATCCATGAGATAAATTAGCCGCGCCATTGTGGATTTATATGCCTCATCGATGGATGTCTCCAGACTTGCTGTGTCGCCGTACCGCAGCTCTTTCGAACTCTCCTTTGAATAGGCTTCTACCCATCCCGAGTCCCCGCAGCCGTACCTGATGAAATTCAAGGATTTTCCGATCAAAAATACTTTCTTGGCAAAGTCTTGTGTGATGATGGATGGTACCAAATCGTCGTCAAGCTTATACTTGTCTTCCCAAACGCTTGTCGCGATGCGCCGGGGATCAGTACTTGAACTAACCTCCGGCTCTACTACGAAAAACTCTTGGTATGGATCTGAAAGCTCGCCATCATAGATCCATAAGCGCAGCATATCATAGAACGGGCGCGTAACATGTGCGAGCAGTTTCTCGGCCAGTGCACATACGAAAGGATCGCCATGAGAAGTGGAGAAGCCATGTATCATTGATATAAGTTGGCCACCCTTCTTGTCTAAAATGTCGTTAGTTAATGGGATGCCCAGGCATAGTTGATCACTTACTCTGAGCTTCTTCGACAATCACGCTCATCAATCTCAGCGCCATTGTCGCGTCTCTTGTCCATACTATACATCTTTTCAGTGTAACCCCGGTTTTGGCTACGCTGGCGGGAGAAGTAGAAGCTCCAGGAGCGGCCAGCGCCCTTCGAATCTCCCCTTCCAGTGTCGCAACCAATCCTAGATACGAACGGAGCTCATTTGAAAGAGCTGCTCGCAAACTCTGGTTCAATAACCCCCCACTGGAGCTTTCGACAAAAGCCGACAACCCTTTATATAGCAGGCCCGGCTCGGCCAAAGTGTTTAGAAGAGATATTAAGGGAATAGGTAGTGTCGGTGGTAGTTTGAGGGTAGAGGACGTAAATTCGAGGTTCGATGACGATAAGCCCTGCAGGACGAAGGGAAGGTCGCGCAAAAGCCCATTCTCGACAGGTCGAGCTAATTTCTGTTGATTGTCTGGAGCTGGCTGCGGTTGAGCGGTTTTCTGTTCCTCCGTCTGGATGTCCCTTGCTGCAGCGTCTGACATTGCGCGATGCCTCTGGTGCTCTCGAGCCATCTCCAATTCTTCATCTTCTCCCATGTCCCGTATATCCCGTTCAGGTCGTCGTTGAGAAGCTTTCCGTTCGAGGCGCGCAGGTAATTGCGATGCTGATGAACTGATAGCCGGACCTTCCTCATCTGACATCGGCCCCATTCCCTGTCTTGCTCGCTGTCCCTTCCATAACAAGTTCTGCAAATTACCTGGTTCGACGGCTGGACTCCGACTACCTCCTTCCTCCTCGAAGCTTTCGTCGTAGTCGTCCGAGCTCGACAGCCGATAAAGAAGATATAATATAGCCCACTTTTGCGATAGGACAGGCTGGGTTAGAAGGCGCGAGTATAAATTGGAGAACCGCATCGCTTTATCTGGGCTCGCATTTTCACGTAACAGCTTCCGCTTGATCAGATCCGACGCGTTATTGATATTCTCACCACCTGCTATGCTTCCTCTCCGAGTAATCCCCAGCCCCGCCCCACCGTTTGGCGATGCTGGATCATTGCTTGAATTGGAATAAGCATCGAGTATTCGCCATGAGTGTTCGAGGTTCTCCTGTTGTCGCACTGCGAGGGCTTCGTATTCTTCGTCGGGGAGCTCGTCTTCCGTAGCGGCGTAAGAGAATCGGTGAGTGAGATTGTCAACGAGCTGCGAGAGGGCGTCCTCAATGCGACGTGGGCGCGTAGAGTGACGAGCTGACATGATTAGCAAACCAGCTTTCCAAGTGCCTTCCCAAGCTAGTTTTGTTCACGACCCCTCGTGACGTCGAGGATCACGAGTGGATGTATAGAAATGTGGGATGTCGAGCAAGCAAGCGCAGTCGAATTCAATGCGGCGGAGTAAAACAGCGCATGGCTTCCTGTTCCGAATCGCATATAATCGACCAATGTTCGAAAGCTATCGCAAAGAGCGTGCGGCGGCGGCGGCGGCGGCGGCGGTGGTTGTTGTTGTTGGTTTGCCTAGTTTGAGCTGTTTGAACCCTCCCGTGACCGCCAAGCTCTCAGTTGGCATCGGGTATCTAGTGGTAGTAATCTGGAGAAGGCATCACGGCTACTACTACCCAGTAGAACTACGAAACTATGAAACTACGTAAGACACATCATTTAAGATTGAATTGATTCAATCTCAGCATGTTTGAATTGTCAAACCTAGAGCCATCTGACATGCTAGTCGCTGTAGCAACACTGAACGGGAAAAGCAAACAGCCCCAGAACGCCGCCCGATTAACGCTGTATCTCGAGAAAGGAAAGAGGAAGGGGAAAGACACATGATCCCGTGTCTTTCGAATATCAGACAGCCGAATTGAAGTCCCAAGATCAAGGGAGGCAAAAGAGACCCAGAAGACGCAAATAAGCAATACACAAACCCCAGCCCCTTAACTCATGGACTGGGGTTTCAAGATGTAGTGTAGAAAAAGACAGGGGAGAAGTGGAAAGGAATAAGGAAAAAAAGACAAGGAAATAATAGAGTAACACAGCCAAAAGAAGCTTTTGCGCCAAGTTTGCACCCTCCAGAGATTCAATAAAATCCCGTATCGCACCATCAGATTCAGCCAGTCCAATTTTTGAATTCGTATACATCATTAACACCTACCCATGCCCAGAGGCCCACGTTAAGAACGGGAGCCAAATGAAACTGAAACGTAATATGAACCCATGGGAATGGTCTGGGCTCTAGACAGAAATGGCCCTGCATCCAGTGGTGCAAAGCAAAGAAACGTTGTAAGTCGTAGCAACGCGATTAGACTAAGATCGGAGGGTATTAAGATCGCAGTCTAGAGATTAAATTCATTGTCTTCGGATTCCCTGTGCAGGGATAGGTGCGCCTGGTTGTATTCCCATGTTGTTAGGGATGTTGTACGGATGAGGGTCAAATCCTGCCGACATGCCGTTCATCATCAAGGGCCCGAGACCTTGGGCCTGGGAAACCGGGCAGTCCTTATGTGCTAGTAGGAGTGTTTTAAGGTTGACGATCTCTTCACGCAACTGAGTGACGGTAGCAGTAAGCGCATCATTTTCTGAAGTGAAGAGCTCAACTTTCGCTTGCAAGTTGGCAAGCCACTGTTTCTTCCTCTGGCGACATTTCAGTGCAGCGACCCTACCGATACCATATTAGAGAATGTACTCGGCACCACAAATAATGTAAAACTCACCGATTCCTCTCGAGGAAATTCTTCCTCTTCTCTTCATCCGTCATCTTCTTGCTGTCCGTCTGTGACTTCTTCTTCTGCTCTTCCTCTTCTTCTGAATCACCGGCATCAGAAGGAGGCTCGGTGCTACCAGAGCTGAGCTTGGCTTTCTTGTTTGACCCTTTAGCTTGAGCATCATCTGCTTTACGCCGATTGTTCGCTGCCCCGCCGGTCTTAGTAGACGTATTCTTTTTCTTTCCTTTCGTGGCCGGCTTTGCCTGTTCACCTTGCACGTCAGACACGTCACCACTTGTCTCTCTGCCACCGTTAGAAGTTCGCCGGTCAGAATCGCGAGCTTGATCGTTGTTTTGAATGTTCTGTGGTGGTATTGACGACTGGTTGGAAACAGCAAATTGATTAGGGTTTGCTTGTCCGCCCTTGGCTAGCATAAACAGCCCATTCGCGGCATCTGCAGCATCATGATGGCCGAAAGGATCTGGCTGGTTGGGTTTGATGTCCATGTTCGTGTTCTGTGCTGCTTGTTCGGGATCAGATGTTGGGTTAGAAGTTGGGCCATTCAGAGCGTTTTTCTTGGCGGCATTCAACGCAGTACGATGAAACTCTATAGTTGAGGGAGTTGCACCCCCACTTTGCAGTTGCTGCAGGAGCGCCTGGGAGTTTGGGCTAGGTGCCGGGAACATGGAACCGCCACCACCAGGAGTCAACCCGGTGCGCAGAGAGGACTCGTTCGGGGTAGGGAAGCCTCTGCCAATGCTGTCGAAATAATCGCTTGAGCCAGTCGGGCCAGCGAGCATGGCCGGGCTTAAGGGCCCAGAGCGCAACGAGTTGGACCAGCTATAACCGCCTCCGGCCGAGCTAGTACCAGGTAAGGCAGGAGACGTGAGCGAAGCGACTGGAGGAAGGATCGACTTCCCGGGTGTCTCGCCAGAAGAGCCACCACTAGTGCCACCACCAAAGGATTGCTCAAAGGGATTCGGTTCCAATGAAAAGGGATTATGCACAGAGTTAAAGTAATCTGGGGTATCCGCAGCTGATGTTATGGCTGGCCGCGGAGGAGGCGCCAGTGAGGTCTGGGGATCTACGTCGGATTTTATATTCTTGGTCTCTGAAGACGGCGCCTGGGAGTCTGTGAAGCAATAACAAGTCCAGTCAGCGGGTAAGTCATACAGAGTGACGCGACTTAGACGCGACAGCAAGGTGTATCTGAGATAAATCGGGTAGCGAAGGGTGATAGCGACGACGAGATCGCATCTCCGTCGCGTTATGGTGGTTAGGGTAATGACAGTAAGAGATCTGATAACAGAGCCCCATCGATGACGCCAGGTGTGAGGTCATCCCGACGGCGGGAACATATAACAGAACATCTGGGGGAGTAGTGGCGTACTACCAAGCCAGAATGGGTCAAGGCTTAATAGAAGATGCAAATGTCGCGAAAACTCTCTTGCAACTTGACAACTTCACGATATAAGGAAGCAAAGCACCCATGGGGAAAAAAAATAATAAAATAAAATAAAAATTTCAAGCCAAAAAAAGAGGTCATGTGCACGCACACAGAAAGAAGCTCAAACTAGAAGGAGGTATACTAACCTTCGGTTTCCAAAGCGTTCTTTTTCGCGTCCATTGGGGATGTATTAATTGTATCAGCGCGATGGGTTAAGGTGTCTGTAACTGTTGATGCAACAGCTGCAGACATAGTTTAGCTGGAGGTCACGGTTATATTAGACAAGCGAAGGGGCCGCGCGAGTCAGAGAACCTAAAGCCGGGAAGAGAGAGGAAAAAAAAAAAAAGAAAGGAAAAAAAAGAAGAATCGAGTGAAGACTGGTGGCAAAAAGACGGAGTGATTCTTCACAACAATAAGTAAGGAGAATAAGATAATATAGATCAGAACGCAGGCAATGCTCTTGAGGACTTATTCAAGGCAATTTGTTGATGTCCGTCCGTTATTCTGCACAGAATCCCAGAGTAACTGTGAAGGGAAGGGAAATGAGAAGTTGTGACGTAGTCGGACTCAAGGGAGTTTTTAGGGGGAGGAAAAAAGAGGGGAGGCGGTCGAGTGTCGTGAGCTAAGCGTTTTTGGGCCTTGCCTAAAGAACTCGACTCCTGTCACGCCAAAGTGTAAAAAAAAAAAAAAAAAAAAAAAAGAGTATGCAACCTTAGGGTGTGTACAAAAGGCCAACGGGTACCAGCCAAAGTGCAACCTCAAGTAGAACAACAAAAGTTGGTTCTTTCTTCTCTCTTCGGTATTGTTGTTGTAGTATTTCTCTTTTTCTTTTCTTTTTATTTCTTTTTGGTTTTTCTTTTCTCACTTTGTGTCTGTCAACAGCTTATTTCTTTTTCTTTGTTCTATTATTCTTTTTCTTTTTTTCCCTTTCCTCTTTTTTTTTCTTTTTTTCTTTTTTTGCCTTCGTTGATTTCTAATCCAAATATCAAGGGCTAAATGTTGATAGACGGAATGACAGGAGGGAAAAAGGGAAACACTCGGATGGAAAAGAACCAACCTTACAGGAGGGGGAACAAAAATAATCACGATCAAGCAGCGAATTATGCAGTCGAACGCTGGATGACCCTTACGGAGTATGTACAGGACTTGCAACAAGAACTTGGAGACAGGTGGACACCCGGCAATACGTTTCGACCAATATGAATGACGAAAGCCTGTGGACACGATGGTGAAGGCGGAAACAACAGACCATCTCCAAAACGGACTACCCGTCACTTGCAAAAATATCAGGAATGTTTTAATAATCCAGGGATAACCGAATTGTAGAGGACAAGACCCCAAAAGAGAGAAGATTGAAGAATCGACGCGACAAACAGGCCCAATTCAGAAGGGAGACAGAATGTAGGAGAAAAGGGAAAATGGGGGGAAAAAAAACGGCAGAGGAGATGAAGTCACGGTGACGACGACAGGAATTTTCTGGGCTGTCGGACCAGCCGGGTGGCCGCTACGAGTGGAGAACACATTGGTGGCCACTCGCCAGAGCTAGCGACTCCACTATCTCCAGCCACTCATCGTGTTGATTCCGAGCCCCACCTTTTGTCGTGACTCCAGAATCTACACAGTAACATGATTTTTGAATCTTCAAACTTCCAAGGCCGCAATGGAATCTGCCGTAGATTCGAAACAGCGAATCATGATTTATGCCATGTTTGTTCTCTTGCAGGGCGGTGAAGCATCCCCGTCAATTGAATGGTCAAACCCTAACGCGATAGATGAGATGAAATACTACTAGTACGATACCTAGCCACTGGCGGGCCCTCATCAGGAGATAATGAACAAGGAATCGACGGTCTTCGACCGTCCATGCTTTGGTTTCTCAGGGGGTTCTCGCCGTCTGGAGAATGGCAGATGGAGTTGCTGATTGGGCCCTGCTGATGACGCAATGCTTCTGGGACGTTCGTCCCGTGGGTTTTTATCACGTGATGCATTGTCGCTTGCTCTTGTTGGTGGGCCAGACAAAGAACAAGTCGAATTTCTTGGATTGCCACTGAGTTGAGGTTCTGGACAAAGTACCATTGCCTCCACCCGTTCAGGCTTGTCAAAGTTGGTTGGGGATAGATGAGAGTCGACCTGTTGTCGACTGGAATTTGTTTGCTTACAGTTCAACGAGTAACCCTTGTAAAGTATCGGGGTGTAGTACATAGTCGTACATTGTCTAGGCATGTATGGCTTGTACAACAGGCAGTAGTAGAGCAGTAGTCATTAATCTAAGGATATCGCTGCATTTGCAGGCCAGTTGACTATGCACAATCCCTGACATGCTGACTGATAATGCGAATGTTAAATATTATGCATAGTTGGCATCGAGTTCATTCAGGTTTAGGGTTGGCAGAAAAAGAAAAGGGATTAGCTTTGTTTGAGATCTCGGGTGAATCAGGAATAATACGAGTTCGGTAGCCCTAGGTTTGCCGATTCGATCCTCACTGCCCGTGATCTGTGGTACCAGCTCTTAGGTTCTAAATATCAAAAGGTCCCTTAGTATCGGATTGACACATGTACTCGTTCTCTATCGTAGCTAAACAGCTGCCTCAGAGCGAAGATGAATATCAGGCAGCAGGTTTTGCCCTTGGATTCCGCCTCGTGTAATAAGCCAACAAGTGACAAGGCATACTCGTAGTTCGTGACTTGTTATATAAATGGGGCCTAATTTTCGTCTCCTCACCAAATGGCTTTGCTCTTCATGCTGAGATAGTTAATTACATCCAGGAGAACAACTCGGCCCGCAATGGCAAATCTACAGAATATCCCAGAAATCATCCTCCTTTGCATGGAGGAGAAGTTCATCACAGCATTCAACGAAGCTCTCCCGACGCAATGGCCGTCCTTCGCAGAGAACCCGAAGGTCAAGATTACCGTGCTTAATATGGGACTTCATGCGGTCCCGGCCACGACCAAGTTCCAATTAGTTGTCTCACCTGCCAACTCCTACGGCCGCCTGGACGGTGCCTTTGATGATGCGATCTCGCGGAAATTCTGCCGTCCACATCATCCTTATGATACGCTAACGCGCGCAGCGCAACAAGTGCTTTACGAAAAATGGAGAGGCTTTGCGCCCCCGGGATCTTGCACGCTGGTCCCGTTCCCTAAAGATATGGAAGGCACGAATGCTTGGGGCTGTAAATGGGTAGCGATTTGTCCGACCATGCGAGCTCCAGATAACGTTACGTGGGACCGAGAAGTGGTGTACGAGTGTGTGTGGAGTTTGCTATGTCAAGTGGAATGCTGGAACCATGACCGATCCGAGGACAGGATTGATAGTATCCTGATGACACCACTGGCGACGGGGATTGGGCGTGTAAGTCCTCAGAGATGGGCATCGCAGTTAATCCTAGCGATGAAGCATTTCGTGGATGCGTTGGAGCGACCGGAGAGGTGGAGTCAATTGGGATGGAGGGACATTGAAGAGAATGTGCTAGAGGTTGAAGAAACATGGAAAGAATAACTTTGGTGCAATGTCAATACCGGTAGATCAGGGTCTTAAATTACTTGAAACTCTCAATCTTTGTGCTTATCTGCATACATCGATATACGTCATCTAGCAGCCCATGCCTCCACCCTAATCAAACGGTGATAAGATCCCTCAGGCGCTTTATCGATAGCCTCACGATCCGCGATAAGTTGAGTAGTTCCAAGGCCCCAAGAGCACCGGCACATGATAGTGCCGCCATCCCTCCTCCCCTTCTCGACCACGTCCCTTCACTGTGAATTTCACCTCCACCTCGGGCCAGAAACTCTCGACTCCTTGCGCTTCATACCATGGTCCAACTTCGAATCGCACTGACCAATGTGTCTTGCTGTCAGCCGCCGGGAGAGATGAGAGGATGGCAGGAACAGGGGCGGGGCAATTTGTCGCAGGCGTCCAGTTTTTAACGCGACCATCAGCATCGGTGGTTGCAGTGAATGTGATGGGGCTTTGACTGCTTGAAGGGGCCGACAAGAGAGTCAGCGTCACCGGGAGGTTCGCCGCCGGAGTACCCGACAGAGTATTGAGGACGTGGCAAGTAATAGGGTCGCGAGACATTGCAGCTGATGTGTTTGTAGCAATCGAGTGATTGATAGCGGTGGAGGATGCTGGAGGTGGAAGAAGCTGCTGTTGGTAAAGGCTGAGTCGGTCTTTGGTTCTGCCCAATTGGTCACTCGATCTCATGTCTATCAAGGAAGAAATATTCGAAGAAAGAAGGAGAGCAATGATTGGAGAGTGGGAATTGTAAGAAAATGTCGGGGACTCTTTTTTGGTTTTTTTTTTTTTTCTATCCCCTTATATGTAGACCTATGGGGTTTTTGTATCTCCGCTCTTCATGCATCGGAGACCACCGACAGTCTGTTGAACCCTTCCGGAGTATACCTTCAGTGGGGCAACAAATTGTGATATTAAACGTTCACATTGTCAATTTCTGGTACATAAGTCCTTCTATCCTGAGTGCAAAACTCCTGAGTGTATTAATATTATGATTGACATGAGAGGAGTCTCTAGGAGTATTTTGGAAAGAGCATTGTCACGCTTTCATCGCATTGACTACATTTTTTAGCGGGGAACCATCATGGAAGCCTCAGGCATAAAGGTCTCCGCACGTGCCACCTTTGACCGACAGCAACGGGGGGTTGTTTCTTAGTTTCCAGCTGCCACGGGCGCTTTTTCAAGATAAGACTCCTTTTGGATCGATCTTAGGCCCGGAAATTTCCCCTGAATTTTTCAAAGCGCGAACAACTTGTTCCTAGTATTTACAGCTTTTCAGGCTTATCTTCCGGAAGCTTCGATCGCCGCAACAAAAAAGTTTTGGGTCTTGCGGGGAAACAATTTACGTGGTAAACTCAACTCCATCAGTGTTTCATTGTTAGCCTATATCACAGCTTAACTTCGGTCCCTTTCTAAACCATTGAATCTCAGTTGTCTGTCTTATAGATTTTAGCTAATTCAACCCAGCTTCAGGATGTCTACTGCCGTTGTACAAGCTGACGATCTCATGGAGCCTTCGCTCCAGTCGATTGTCAGCCAGGATACCCTCCGCTGGATCTTCGTTGGTGGTAAAGGAGGTGTTGGTAAAACAACTACCTCCTGTTCTCTTGCGATTCAGCTGGCCAAAGCTCGCAAATCGGTTCTGCTCATCTCGACCGATCCCGCACACAACCTCAGTGACGCCTTTGGACAAAAGTTTGGAAAGGAAGCCCGACTGGTCGATGGGTACACCAACCTCAGTGCTATGGAAATTGACCCCAATGGCAGCATCCAGGACCTACTGGCCAGCGGCGAGGGGCAGGGCGACGACCCTATGGCGGGACTAGGCGTTGGGAACATGATGCAGGATCTAGCATTCAGCGTACGTTTTTCCTAGGACTACCGAGTGATCATACTGTGTCTCGGCTAATCAAGTCAGATCCCCGGTGTTGATGAAGCCATGTCCTTTGCGGAAGTTCTGAAGCAAGTCAAGTCCTTGTCGTATGAGGTTATTGTTTTTGACACCGCCCCCACCGGCCACACCTTGCGTTTCCTTCAATTTCCCACCGTGCTTGAAAAGGCCCTTGCAAAGCTTTCGCAGTTGTCGTCTCAATTCGGCCCAATGCTGAACTCCATCCTTGGCTCCCGCGGTGGTCTTCCCGGCGGTCAGAACATTGACGATCTTTTGCAGAAGATGGAGTCTCTCAGAGAGACCATCAGCGAAGTCAACACTCAGTTCAAGAACCCGGACATGACCACCTTTGTGTGTGTCTGTATTGCTGAGTTCTTATCTCTGTATGAGACCGAGCGTATGATCCAAGAGCTGACAAGCTACAACATTGACACACACGCCATTGTCGTCAATCAGCTTTTGTTCCCCAAGCAGGGTAGTGAGTGTGAACAGTGCAATGCACGAAGGAAGATGCAGAAGAAGTACCTTGAACAAATTGAAGAACTCTATGAAGATTTCAATGTTGTCCGGATGCCGCTGCTAGTTGAAGAAGTCAGAGGAAAGGAGAAACTTGAAAAGTCAGTTTTTGTTGATACTCACCGGTCAGAAAATAACTTCCGTACTAACAAACCATTTGCAGATTCAGCGACATGCTCATTCACCCATATGTTCCCCCGCAGTAAAGAGGCTATGTAGCATCGTGCAATAGGATCACCCTGGTTGTCGAACCTGAAGAAGATGGGGAACGATATTCGACGGGGGCATTCTCGGTGCAGAGGGATTTACTATCAACTATGAAAGCGCTTTATCACGGAATAACCGCATGTTTATTATGAAGGTCATCACGTCGGAGATGGCGCTGGAAAATATGCAAGGTGAGGTTTCCAGCGAATTGTTACCATTGGGATGAGTTATGAGAAAGAATAGACAGTAATGCACGAAGCGTTTGATACTTGTATGGCCATGTCGATCCTCGAATTATCTACGCCTTGGACATCAATACCTAAAGCATATTGGTTCTAGTTTAATTCTCTTATGTGCTTTTCCTTTTGTTGCATTCGCGTCGTGCAAGCTACCGTCGTCTTGTTCGCCTCACTCCCGCCTTCTTCAGGCTCGAAGAGCTTATCGCAACTTACAAATTGTGGGTCTTCATAAAGGGTCCATTTAGATTACCGCTCAAGCATCGTTCGCGGATGAGCATATCGATAGGCCGAAATCACAATTGCGCATATGCATGGCCTTCTCCACATGCAGCCTGTCCCGTTCAGGAGCAACTGCGTGCGTGCTCTTGACTTCGAAGATAATTCCAAATGCCTCATTCTTAGCCGTGAGGTCAAGCCCATTCCTTCCGAAACGCGCCTTATCCAAAGATGGACGTTTTTTTCCTTTGTCCTCTTTTCCCCATTCGTCATGAAGTTATGGGCGCGTTGAGAATATCAAGTAATGAATACACCGCAATGAGCCAATGCCCAGGTCAAGTGCACTATGGTTGTTGTCACTCTTAGTACTTGGTATATTAAGAGCGAATTCGGTGAAAGGACAGCTCCCTGTTGCCCGACTCGGTAGACTGGGTATCACCAGCCAAATGTAACGACGGCATGCCTTTTCTAACAATGGCCCTTCCACATATTGCCAACCTGCCTCAACAGTTAGGTGGGTTTGAATCTGCCGCACTGCAGTAGACCTGTTGCATCAGTCGCATCCGGGACACGAGAACAATAATGCCCGCCGTCTCTCCCTATGGTATTTCACTTGATGGCCCAGGCGGAGCGAACGACATTCAACCCGACGACAAGGCTGTCCCTGCTACGATAGTCCACATCAATAGCATCATAGACGTTTGCTCGCATGGGGGTTCTTCCTAGTGAACATGAGCTAGCCGGCCCTCGGCCAGATATCGTAAATTCTCAAAGAGAATAATGCAGTCGAAGCTAAGGGAGCGAATTAGCCCACGTCCCAGGTTAATATTGACATTTTCCGCGCGGGCTTTGGAGATAGACTGAGAACTTGTGAGTTACTGCAAACACATCGTATTTTATCTGAGATCGAGAGTAAATATCGATTGTGGCTCGCTACCTATCTTAGGGCTACAGGATAGATATGTCCCTTTCTCAATGGATCCACACTTTATTCTTAGAGAGGCGTACAATGAAGCATCCTCCTAGAAAGGACTTCGGTAGGCATCATCTCCACACCGGCGCTTGGAGTCCACGTCTTAATTTGGCAATTGGTCCATATGCATTCACGGGAATTCGATGGTCACAGAGACATGATAGTTTTTCAATGTAGTAGATTCCACAGAGTGTGCACGAAAGCCTTAGACACGACTTGTGTTTCCTGCAGATGCCATTCTATTGTCAGGGATCTTTTAGGCTTACCATGCATCCATCCCTGGGTCATAATAAACTTATCCTAGCCTAATGGATCTACAGAACTTGCAGGCAGTCACGGATACAACCCCTTGAAAGCTCAACCAGTCCGTGGAGCCACGGTATTATACCCAAAAACAGACCGACTTTGATGGTGCATATTCCCTGCAGACTTGGCAGGGAATTCAGACGAACAGGAGCGAAAGCCTAGGCGTTATAATTCCGGAACGGGAGGTGTTACTGGTGGACTGCTCTATTTGTGGATGGCGATGAGTCAAGCCTCACTTTTCCCAGCGAAAAAGGGTTGGATAAAAGAGTGAGGCGGTTTCCCGAAATCCGACATCAGCAAGCACGAAGTGACCTCTCAGCCATGTTTCCTTTCGTTCTCGAAAGCCCATGATGGTTTTCTTAGTTGCGTAAGTGCGATCTAGCCTAAAGTTTTTCTCTTTGGCTGATCTTTCTGTCTTGGTGATCGCTGCTACTGGCTAGTATACAATCTCTCGGCGTTTCCGTGTTTTAATCGACATATATACAGTACAAAACGCTAGGCGTCTCATACACTTTCTACTTAGTATCCCTTGCATGGTGGACATGATGTTGGATGCTTATAACCCTAAGTGCCTCGTAGATATTCGCAGTCATCGTTATCAACATCGCAGACGACTCAACTCAAAACCCCCCATCAACCCTACTCACACATATACCAACCTACCAAAGACAAGAAACATATCAATGAGGATGTCTCAAGTTCAGCAATACTGGCTACCAGGATACGGTCTATCACGACATATTGTCCTCGGACATATTCAATACTTCCTAGGACCATCAGCATCTGTCAGACCATACACATACCAGGTATAATCACCACAACCACTCTAACACGAAGCTATGAAACAATGGCTCTAACAGCTGAATGTAAAAACCAAAAGGGACGCGAAGGTTATCTAATAGTCGGTGTACCTCTAACGAGGGTCTGTGTCCCTTCGATGAGCCTGATCGTGTGACCCACATCACTAACATTCGACCAGGAACAAATTGACGATCTTGCGGCCATGTCACGAGAATATGAACGGCAAGAGACCCTTCGGATGGCGGGCGATTCTACCAACGAAGTATCTACCAGACATGCTGAGCCCTATATAAATGAGATCGTCCCCGTTCGAGCTTTGGCTCCGCGCAGACGTCCGTTCGAATATGAAACTCGACGTGGTCGGTAGTCACCTAAAGAACAAGAAAAAAAAAAAAAAAAGAAAAGAAAAGAAAAGAGAAGAAAGAAAGGAAAATAAAAGGGAATTTTCCGTTTATGTCAAGCAAGAGATATCCTTGATTTGTTTTTGAGCGTCTTGCTCTACGGCTCCTCGCTCTTAATAAGATTAGAATGACTGTTTACATTTACTACATTCGCATTATACGTCTGTCAGAATAGCTATGTCTCTCTATCTCTAACGTTGAACTGAAAGGGAGGTAGAGACAGATTGCTAATCTTCGTCGTTCATACAGCCCCGTTATTCCATTTCAGCTTGATTTACGTCCATCAGAAAGCATTACAACATGCCTCTTCTGCTTGGGTCGTTCCTGTAGCTTAGATCTAGATAACAATACTATCTTGTTCGCCCTAGCGACGTCATATGTCCTAGTTGACGTTTAGTAGTAGTTAGGGCTTCTGCTACCGAACCCCCCTTATATGAAGCTATCCATGATGAGACGTATATCCAACCACGACGGGGAGCCAAGATGAAGAATCGTTTAGATAAATGGATTAAGTAAAAACCACCGGGTTATAATTCCACTCATCTCTATAGATCATTCGTAACAGCATAGACCAATCACATGGAAAGCAGGTTTTATATCGTAGGAACAAATAAAAAAAAAGAGGATCAGTCCGTTGCCCTCCCAATCCGCAAAAGAAGAAGAATACTGTACTGTTCTTCCTTTCCTTCCCTCTTTCTTTTTTGAGTGTCCCCTTTTTGTCGCTTCTCTCCTTCTCTCCTTTTCGCTTTTTTTTTAGGCTCTCCTAGCAATGTAAGACTTAATCGATAATCTTTCAATCGAAATATTTTCATAACAAAGGTTCACGACAGGAGGTGCCAACCAACTAAATCGGTGCAAGAGATTAAAAGACAATTGGAAAAGAAAGAGAACATGAAAAGTGGACCACCTGAACGCCAGCCTGATGCCACTCTGCTTGGTCCCATCACTCAAGAAGCCCGCACTCCGCGGGGGAATACTAAACATGAACAGAACCAACAAGAGAACGGTAAAAGACGAATTCTTGTTTTATAGCATAATGTGTGTTTATTTCGCCACGGCCGCACTGGATTAACACCGAGGTTAGTTGCCTGGTCAAGCTGGGTAAACCTTTTTTTGCAGAAAGTTTTAACGTACCTCAAGACTTGTGTCCGGAAGAATGCGCCCTTGGTCTTCTCAATAACCTGCTGGTACACCGACTGAGGGGGGTGGTTCATGATCACTGTGCCCTCCTTATAGTCGATCTTGGCATCAACCCGGGTGTCGCGGATAAGGTTGACAATCCACTTCTCACCCTCATCCTGGTTCAGGCCGAGACGGGTGGAAAGATCCCTGTATCACGTTAGTTCCCTTTCTAGCGGCCCCGATTGCAATGTTCATTCTCGGTTACATACTTGATATCAATCCGTTGGTGGATCTTGCAGTAGCTCTCGGAGATAAGGTGACGAGCAGCCTCGACGAAAGCATCGGCCGCAGAGACAAGGAAGAAATCGCTCCTCAACACATCCTCGGCCTCACCCAGCTTCTTCTGGGCCTCCTCGAAATCGAAGTCGATGTACAAAGCCTTAACAAAGTCGGTAATGGGGTCGGAGTATTCGTAGCCCTCCTGGCGGACAACCCGGATGAGGTCCTTCAGCTGCTTCTGGTAGAGACTGCTGTTCTTGTGTGCACGGCCGCGGTTGGTGATAACAGCGGCAGCGAGGTACCGCAGGATCCAAGGGCAGTGGGTCTGAATGGTGTTGATGTATGCAGGAGAGAAGAAAAGGTCGGTCAGGACATCGCGGGCGGGGTCGTAGTTGAAGAAGGGGAAAAGAGACCAGTGGATCAACCAGGAGCGGTTCTGGAGCTGACCCAGGGGGTTGTTGAATAGGCGGGTTTCGATCGACTCCTTGGCCTTCTGGACCTCTTCCATGGCAGCTTCCCAGCTGGTGGTCAAAATCTCTGAGGCAAGCTTACCCCATGTGGCCGAGGCAACCTTGTCGTTGTCGGTGGAAAGAACACGGAACTGGTACAGCAGCTCGGCAGCGTTACCATAGCTACCGCAGCTGTACTGGAAGCGGCCGTAGTCGAAAAGGCTGTTGACCATCTCGGTGGTAACCCCGTGCTGTTCCTCGAGGAACTTCAAGTTGGCAACCTTGTCACTCCGCAGGTTACCAACAACATCCTCATCCTGAAGCAATTCGGTGATCTTGGCGCTCTCCTCCTGGTAGTGTTGCAACTTAGCGAGAACCTCCTCCCTCTTCTTGACAAACTCATCGGGAATGGTATCGGAGTTGTTGATTTCCTGCCACAAGTTGGCGACATAGTCGGTCATGTTGGTATGTTTCAGCAGCTCATATTTCGCCCGCACAATCTCCTTATCGTCATCCTGGCCGGAGCTGAATTCGAGCAGAGGGAAAACAAGATGGCGGTCGAGGAAGGGGATCAACTTGGGTAGCAAATCATATTGGTTGGCGATCTCTTCAGCGGTCTTGGGGGGGTGAGCGGCGGCACCGCTGAGCAAAGTCTCTGCGGAAGGGGGAACGTTGGCTGCCATGGTGAACGACTGACGACGGCGGCAGCGTCTCGAGGGAAGATAAGGAGGAGGGGGGTAAGAGGGCGTGGACCGGGGAAGCAGCGAGACTGGTGCGATCTCTGACTGAAGTCAGTGTGCGGCGGTCTTCTCTTCTTTTGCGCTGGCGAAAATGTGGGCGGGAGGGCTGGCGGTCACGCTAGGCCTGGTTGGGGCTAGCGCGCAGTCTCCGCGCAAGAAATCGCTTTTCATGCAAAGATCGGAAGACACTCGATCCTCTCTTACAGCTGCTTGCCGCGTCGTGCTATTCCCCTCAACGTTGGGTGATTCGGTGTTGGGTTGCCTGCCTCGGATTCAACGCCTTGGGAATTTCTCCTGTTGCTCTTCCCTTCCATAGATCTCTCCTGGACCGATGGCGTCTCTCCTGCAGTCCCGTCCCGTCTGCTCGGCCGTTCGCAAGCAGTCGACGGTTCTACCTACCTATCTTCAAAATGCTTCGCAGTCCATTGCTTCTACTTCAAGGACATGTAGCTCATTCTCTACACTATCTTCATCCACTAGATTGATCAATTCTCGTAAGTAGTACAAGGCTTCCGCCTATTCCATGCCTGGTCCGGTGGAGGACAAGCTATCCTATTATAAAATGGAAGAAAAGGGAGAAACTTGGCCATGAACAAAGAGAATATTCGGAGGAAAGCTAACTGATCCGCTTCAGAACATTCCCTCCGGTCCCTCCAACGCTTCAATCCCCGCTCCGCAGCCCCTACACAGCAATGCCGGACCTTCCTGGTACAACTAAAACGCCAGTCCCAGACCCTGAAAGAGAACGCCCCTTCGACAGCTACTTCCCTCCCATCATCGGCCAATTTGCAACTCACAAATCTTCCCTATTTCATTCGTCGCACTGCCTCGAACCAACTTCCAGTATACCTGGTCACCAAAGCCGGTGGTACCAAGCAGCAGACCAAGATACAGAAGACCGAAGGTGACCTGGATGCGTTAAGGAACGACCTTGCACAGTATCTGGGTCTTGAATCCGGCGAGCCTCGCTCTCCCAAGAGCTCAGACATCACAATCAACCGCCTTAATGGACACATCGTTGTCAAGGTACGCTTTAGTCATGTGCCCCCTTACAGGAGCATCGTATGATGCTAACTTATGCACGTTGCAGGGCTGGCGAAAGCCTGAGATTCAGAAATTCCTCTTGGAGCGTAATTTTTAGAAGACGAAGAACCAATAAAAGCCCTGGATATGAGTAATTTGCACGTTCCTCTCCATCTCCCTCCACTATCCGCTCGATCATCGACTTCCTACCCATTTTCCAGGCAAAAGTTTGAACCAGAGGGTTATATGTCGAATCCACCGCAGGGCATCCAGGAACTTAAGTCTGCCGAAATCAATAACACACAAGTGGAAAGTAGAATGGAGAGAATACAGGCAGCAAACACCTGATTGAGAAGGTCTTTGCTGATCATCGGCTGAGGATGGTCCCATTTACTTTCTACTGCACCCCTTCTTCTTTTTCCTCTTATCTAGCTTTTATTTGCTCTGTATTATTTTCCGTGCTGGGTGTTCTGTCGCATTTTCAGTTTTGTTCGTGTCGTCGGAAGTTCGGCTTGTATTCTGGCATGTTTCTGCCATTTTCTCACGTCCTGATCTCACCTCTCCATCTGCTTCGTGCCACTCTTCTGTATCTTTGTACATTTCCATGACTTCACGGTTGCTTTTGCGCTAATCCTGTGGCTAATGTCGACGAATGGCTGGGTTCTCGTGGGCGGAGTACAGCATGCGCAAACAGAATAATTAGGTCTAGGCAGTAAATCTGAATATGTCTTGATAGACGCTGGTCTGGCGCCTTGATTGATTCACGTAACAGCACATAGTAGATGGAAGGAAATCACACTGATTGAAAAGGCTATCGCAACCCGAAAGAAAGGTTTTCAGTCCCATTGAACAATGTCATAGGTTCTATATCATAGATCATGAATGAAGTGGCAGGCGTGTGTCACTGGACGACTGGTATCCGGATGAGTAGTAGAAACCTGCACTTGTTGCATCATGCCCCAAACGAGTGCTTTTACAAAGTTCACCATCCGCCGTCCAAGCAGTTTTGTTTACACCAAGAAGAATGATGAATAGTCCGATCCCTAAACGAGACCTGAGGACCATGTAGACCAAAAATACGAAAAGGGAGGTAATAATGACCATGAAGTAATTTTACCCATTGAGACATCATGCATGATCTTTCGCCCGAGGGTATTGAGCATTGTACAGCGATAAGCAAAGATACACAAATCAAAAGGTCACGCCTCACGTATCTTCCCACCGGCGCCAGACAAAATCACAAGAATAAATGGTTTTCTCAATAGAAGACATGACAGAAAGTAAAACATCAAGATGGCATATTGAAAGTGATGCTAGACATTCACCGACGCTATTAATAATCAAAAGAAAAACCAACCCCACGCACACACTATTTAAAGCCAGGTCATTCTGCCAGTCGGGCGTACGTTATCAGTTGTCGTACGACGCCAGGATCCACATTGTGCATGAGCAACGCCCCGAGTAAGCTCTCTTTCTTTGGGATTATCCCCGACGGAAACCGTAACGCCGAGTTCGAGTCGGCATGTTTAGACTTTTCAGCCAGTCTCCTGAGAATGGCCAACCCTCGGTTAATGATAGAACTATAGGCAGCAGCTTCCGCTTCAGCCTGTCCTCTGGCAGCATGTGATTGACGGGGGTTATTGTTGGTGGGAGGAACACGTTCGGTGCTCAAGAGGCAGGAAAGTCGAAGAAGATGAATGGCAAATCCGTCAACCGATTCAAGCCATGATTTGGCAAGATTACCGTCCGCAAACCCGGAAAGGATGTCGGCGGCTAACAAGCCCTGCATGAGGAAAACTTTGCGAGCATCTGCTATGGCTAACGGTTTCCGAGGCTGGTCGGGAACCGGGCAAATGGCAAGGCCAAAGGCACGGGTAAGCAACTCGTGCTGAGGGATGCCACTCCCGTCCCCGGAGAAGATTGCCTTGAAAAAAGTCCTGTTGGGCTCATCGCGCGCCAAAAGCTTGGCTAAGCTGTCTACCGCTGCCGGGGTATATTTATGGACGGAAGCACTGTAAGCGGTAAACATGACGCCATCCAGTCCCTGACTCGGTCCAGGGTATGGGGCAAATGACAGGAGAAAGTGTAGGAGAGAGAGAGCTTCTTCTTTGCTCGGCAGTTGAATGGTGTGGGCCAGGTTACTCAGATATATGACAGTGTCCTTCATGAAATCCAGGGTATTCTGATTGTTTCGCAAAAGCATATTTCGAGTTCCCAAGTAGCGGATGATAGTGGAGATGAATTGCACGACCGGTGGTGTTGAAAGTACCCCAAAGTTCGACTCAGTAAATGAAAAGTTGCGCAATATCGTTGTGATACAAATGAGTCTATCAACAGCTCGGTCTAGATCATAATCAAGACTTCCAAACTCGGGAATATCGGCCAAGGATGTCCACTCTGACTGACAACCCCGAGTAACCTCCTCATACGACGGAAGAAGCATGACATCTGATACCTCAGCAGCATGCTCAGCAAGGAATTCAGCTTGGTCTTCTGCACACTCAACCAAGCTGTCAACCAAATCCTCGCAGTTGTCCAGTGAGATTTGAATTGCCGGCTCACAGGATATAGTTGCAAGGGTATCTAAAGCCAGACGCATCTCTGCATGAATCCCTGACTTGATACTCATTGTGAGCGCGTGTATATCAATTACACCAAGCTCGGAGAAGGCGGGAACGTTAGGCTTGAATCTCGCGATTTCTTCACTCAGTTGATGAATTTCATCCACCCCGACTGGACCATGAAGGTTACTTTCCGGCAAGACCATAGGCTTGAAAGGGTCCTCGATCGGATGCTTTAGAGGCTGCTCAGGATTCTGATCAAACTGCTCGGACACCTTTCCGGACACTGAACCTGGACCTTTGGCAGATGGTGCGGGCGACTGGCCGGATAGTTGCCCAGTAGAGTCGTGAGGCGTTGCAGGCGGTTGGGATTGGCGAGAGACGCTGAGTCTATGCTGATGTTGTTGTTGCTGGTGTTGCTGCTGCTGCTGCTGCTGCTGCTGCTGCTGATGTTGTTGTTGTTGTTGTTGTTGCTGCTGATGTTGCTTATTTGGCGCCTTCACTGGCGTAGGAGTAGCAAACCCATTTGGCATGCTGTTAGGCATATTGTTTGGTACTGGTGCATTACTAGGAGAAGGCTGTCCAAGTTGCTGTGAAGCCTCGAAACTTTGAGTTGGCTTCACTGATGGTGACTGAAACTGCATGCCTGAGGGGTCACTAGGTTGTCGCGGCAGCGCACTTTGCTGCATCTGATCCGCGTACTGTTTCTGCTGCGTGCTAAGGAAAGCTTGCTCATAAGCAGCAAGATTCCGCTGGTAGTGCTCCCGAATCTCTTGTACGGCCATCGGAAACTGCATCGGGGGGTATTGAAGCTGCTGAGCTATTACTGGCCACATGTTCGCGGCATTGATCTTCTTTGACCCACCCAGCTTCATAACGGTAGCATAAAGTTGCACCAAATTAATCGGGCGTCCACAGACAATAGGATTCGGGTCCAGAGGTAGATTTCGCGACATCATGAATTTCTGCAACGACCTCATAAATCCTTCCGGATTAGGAGGTTTCGACATCGTCTGCTGCATCTGTCTGATGGCCGCCATTTGCTGAGGGTTGGCCATGGCGTTCATACCAGCCGCCACGGGACGCCCAGCCAGGGCGGGGTTCATATTTATCGGCCGGCCTTGGTTTTGCATTTGGATAGCATGTATTCGTTGCTGCTGCTGTTGTTGTTGGGCAGCCATTGCCTGGTATCCCTGTGGGATGCCACTGAAATGCGCTTGCATCGGTGCTTGCCCGCCGGCGGAGGTCATAGCGGTTGCAGGCGAAAACTGCCCTCCCATACCCTGAGGGAATGGCTGGCCAGGCATGAACGAACTATTTTGCGGAGTATTGACTCTACTTGGATGATCCGGCTGCGACGGCGATACGTGGGGCCCAACATGAGGACCAGCGGGAGAGAATGGACTGGGGGACGCTGTTCCCATTCTTTGCACACCATGCTGGTCGAAATCCTGGATAATCGGTGACTGACTCACATTTGGCGAGGTCCCTTGTTGAAGATGCTGGTACTGAGCAGGATGCGGGGCGAATTGTGTAGCGCCGTTTGTCGGTCCTTGGTACCCTGGGAAAGGCACCTGATGAGGCGTCTGCGATCGCGAGGCAGCTAGTCCACCTGGCGCTTGCCGGGGTGACATTGAGATGGCATCCTCGGGACGTGGGCGCTTGGACGGGATCACCTGGTTAGGATTGTGGAAACCAGGAGATGCATTTCGCGGCACACCATTGAACATGCGCTGAAATTGATTAGGATCGGGAGTAGGAGATGCATGGAGGAAAGCGGTGGAAGGATCTATAGTCGCCTGGTGGAAGGCACCATTATCATGGTTGGGGAGGTTCGAGGCGTCGGCTAGCCAGGCATTCATGTCGTGTGGTTTACCAACCCATCTGCAAGAAAGCTGTCAGACTTAATGAGACACACGGTAGAGTATGATTTCAATCATCAATAAGCATCAACAATGAATGCGATATTAAAGCCATCATAGTTCCAGATAGAAAGCTGAATAGCTGAAAATCGATCAATCGTCGTTTGAGGGTTCTGGACGCGTCAAGCTGGAGTGTGAGGCGAGTCGCGCCTTGGTCTGCGACACCGAACACACTACAGTCTGGACCGACATGGAAGTGAAGTAGAGGGTGGGTAGGGTAAACTGGGGTAGGACACATTTTCTTTGTAGACAAAGGAACATTAATGATGTACATACCGACAAGGCTGGACAACTAAAATGCCGACTCACAAGCGGAGGATGGAAAGCCGGTCCCGAAATGGTAGCGGTTGGAAAGCCTGAGAGAGGTTGCGACGATGTGAGGTCACGGGACCATGGGCGCCGCAGGCAGAAAAAGGTAGCTGGTGTAATAACGGACTGACGAGCTGGGGACAGAAACCATTAGCAAATAGCAGGAGTAGGGTAGCTTCTAGACTAGTACAAGAGTATACAAAAAAGATAAAATAAAATAAAACAAAAAAATAAAAATAAAAATTATGGGTAGGCCACCAAACAATAAGAAACTATCATTTGTAGCGTGCGTGATAGACCCGAAGAATGGAGAGACGGGTAGCAGTGCGTGGCCACAGTTGGTGCAGCGTGTGATGGGCAAGAAAAGGTAAACCCAATAACTGAAGACAAGCGGGGGGAAGGAATGACATGACAGGCGTACCTGAATAATGAGTGCAATAATCTGTAGGGCCGTGTTAAATGTTGTATTTTAATTTAGATTTTTTTTTGTTTTAATTTTAATTCCCCTACTGCCTTGGGGAGGGAAGGGAGATCGCTTGGAAGAAAGGAAAAGTGGAGGCACGGGGTAGATAGGCAGGAATGGAGACGGGCGTGGAGAGAGAAACGGACGCCTCAGGAGTCAAAAGAGACTAAGGACAAGAACCGGGATAGAAAGGGAGGGTACATACGAAAACCTGGCGTATGACTTTCCAGTAAGTTATTTTACCAGTGGGCAGCAGAACACAAGAGAAGTCTCAGGCAGTCATCAGCAGTCGGTTAGCATTGGCGGTAAAGGGGGAAAAGAGAGGGAAACAGTAGGCGGAAAGCGGCGGCAAGACAAAAGAGGCTGGAGCTTAGGTAACGCCCATGGTGGATCGATGGGTATCCCACTTTCCCCCTTTCGGACATCCTGGTCAATCACAGGTTTGTTCCATGAGCATTTTACTTTGTCCAACTGATTTAGAGCATTCATCCTGAAGAACTTAGTCGGGTCTCCCTCTTTCGTACCCCTTAAGAGAAACCTCTAACATTTTTTTCGCGTTGAGAAGTTGAGATGGTCACTGGAAGACTCGATAGTAGTGATTCAACTGGCCAAGATCAACTACTCATTAGTAGTATGGACGGCCTCGGTCCGACCTGTTGTTTTGTCCAAGAAAACAACCACTCGAGCATATCTGTAACCTGTCCAAAGAAAGAGCGATGGTAATCTGTTGAGTAGTTTTGAACATATCATAAAATAGTTCGGTTTCTGCTGGCTTGGGAGACCACCGAATCTTCAATTGCCTGTGTGGATGCGTATGTGGGTATCAAAATGGAAAGTGTGTTGGGGTAAAGAGAAACTGCGTCGGGCAGAATCTTGGGAATGAGCTTTTCAGGAGGACCTGGGACAGGAGAGCGCTAGATAGATGGAAGATAGAGAAAGAAGAAAAAAAACCAAACCACAAATAAAAAGATCATTGTGACAAGGAAATAGACGACGAGGGCACCTGATTCCCTTATAGCAGTTCCATCAGTTACTCCGTGCTAAGCCCACCCAATAAATCCGCCCGGTCTGGGTAGTCAATGTATGAATGGACATACTACGGATCGCACTCGTTATCTGCCAGCCCTTACACGCATCCGTTCAACCATGTATTGATCATACTTTAGGTCTCTTTCTGTCTCTCTCTTTCTATTTTGCACAGGGGCCGTTCATTGTCAAACCTACCACGTCCTTACGGTTCTCCACTATAAAATGGTATTTAGTTGGTAATAGATGATAGGTGTCAATCGGTACCGTGGTGTATGGACTCCGGGCTCTTCGAATGAGTAGTGGTCAACCAACACCATGGTTATGGGGGCACTATGGCTAGTTCGATTACGATTTAGGCTCGCCCTCCGTGGTTCAGACAAATCCCGATATTCGGTCAATACTTAGAGTTTAAGTAATGATTGGAAATTAAGAATAAATCACATATAGTAATACTGACAAAATGATCATCAGCGATCTCTCACCATATATATATTTCCACTCCAAATTAGCACATACCACCTCATGCACATTCGAAAGAGAGCTCGCATTAACATAACAGCACACCGTGTAGGAATATATATTAAGTTCTATCCGATCGGAACGAACTGTCTCTACATGGGGCATTTATCTATATTTATCTAAACCATAATAGTAGTGATGACTGGCTGCTTATTGTATTGTATAGCACCAGATCAAGATATTTGTGACTGAGAGATTGGGATTTTTTTCTACGAAACGCAACACAGTCATTCGACATTCGATTTGATTCTCACAAATGCGTTGCCACATTCGGGCATTAGACACAGTTGACGCTGTACTAGTACTGCCAGTAAAACTTGGGGCCGAGCTCCTATCCACGTGACCGAAACCGTAAGCTACGTCGAGCCAGTCTGGTTATGATCAAAGCAGAAGCTCCGATTCCACCAACACTGTTTAACTGTTAGATCTCCCGCTCGGATTTTCCAGCCAGCCTTCATAACCCGGCCTACGATCTAATATTCAACGTTTTCGCTTCTTGTCTGTGTTAAATTTCCACCATGGGAGACGTCGCCGTGGAGAATCCGGCGAACAACGTCACGCCTCATACCAAGCCGGCACTATTGGACACCATCCCCAACATAGACTCAATCGAAGGCACAGGGACCGATGGAGGTGATGAATATGCTACTTTGAAGAAACTCCAGAGACACCTAGAGTATGTTGGAAACGGAAAGTCCCCATGGTCGGTACTGACGCTTCAATAGATACATCCAGCTGCAGGAGGAGTACATCAAGGATGAGCAAAGGCAAGCTAGTATTATCCTCTCACCACAGCGGCGGTATTGTTAACATCAAATCTGAGCAATAGGAGCTTGAAAAGAGAGCTCGTTCGTGCACAGGAGGAAATTAAACGGATACAAAGTGTTCCCTTGGTTATAGGCCAGTTCATGGAGGCAATCGACCAGAAGTATGGGCCTAAAGTGCATTTGATAAAGGGAATTTTGCTAATGGAGGTTTTCCAGTACCGGAATCGTCCAATCGTCAACCGGTTCGAATTATGTCGTCCGGATTCTATCCACGCTCGACCGTGAGAAGCTCAAACCATCGTCCTCGGTCGCTCTTCATCGCCACTCCAACGCCCTTGTCGATATCCTACCTCCAGAGGCCGACTCCTCCATCGCTATGTTAGGCGAAAATGAGAAACCAGACGTCACCTATGCCGATGTTGGTGGACTTGATATGCAGAAGCAGGAAATCCGCGAGGCGGTGGAATTGCCATTGACACACTTCGACCTGTACAGACAAATTGGTGGGTCGATAGATCTGAATGAGTTGGCGATTGTGCAGTGTTACTTACTATCGTAGGTATCGATCCTCCTCGTGGTGTCCTGCTATACGGTCCTCCCGGAACAGGTAAGACTATGCTGGTCAAAGCAGTGGCGAATAGCACAACTGCCAGCTTCATTCGAGTAAACGGTTCCGAGTTTGTCCAAAAGTATTTGGGTGAAGGTCCTCGCATGGTCCGTGATGTGTTCAGGATGGCCCGTGAGAATGCCCCTGCTATCATCTTCATCGACGAAATCGATGCCATCGCCACAAAGCGTTTTGACGCTCAAACTGGTGCTGATCGTGAGGTCCAACGTATTCTTCTGGAACTCCTCAACCAAATGGATGGATTCGAGCAATCGAGCAACGTCAAAGTCATTATGGCTACCAACCGGGCCGATACTTTGGATCCGGCTCTGCTGCGCCCAGGTCGTCTGGACCGAAAGATTGAGTTCCCCTCTCTCCGTGATCGGCGAGAGCGTCGGTTGATTTTTACCACCATCGCATCTAAGATGTCCTTGTCCCCTGAGGTCGACCTTGACTCGTTGATTGTGCGTAATGAGCCCTTGTCTGGTGCTGTCATTGCCGCCATCATGCAGGAGGCTGGTCTACGAGCCGTGCGGAAGAATCGGTACAACATTATTCAATCTGACCTCGAGGATGCTTATGCTACCCAAGTGAAGACTGGACAAGAAGCGGACAGGTATGTTATATTACTCAGTTACGGTCCCCTGTTATCATACCTAACTAACAATCTAACTGCAGGCTTGAGTTCTACCGGTAAATGGGGTGTATTTTTTTTGGTAGTATTTAATGAGCTAGAAATACCGGGTAACGTGACGAAAGGGTGGTCATGTGTTGTAACGTCAAACTTCAGGCTCTTATCACATATGTAGGAAAATGATTGATGTGTTTTGAGGTGCCCACCGTGGTGAAGCAGCAGGAAGTACGTGTAATGATTCGATCGAATGAGGGTATCTCTAGTCGCCTCGTAGTTCCGCGTCGGCTACCTATCGGGAACGGCAGTGCAGCTCCACTTGTGATTGTTACTGGTACCTATCAGTCTCGCCAAGATTACGGTTGTTATGTAGATAGGCGGCGATCCTTGGGCAGGCAGTGGTATGGATGTGCATACCGTCATTTACTAAGTACGGAGCAAGGTAAACTAACTAAACTTATCAGCCTGGTTAGCTCCCGAGGCGGTCTTACATCATCCGCAGCGGCAATCGATTCCACACCCTGGGATTAGTGATAAAAGACACAAATGGACCTGGGGATGGTATTGTTGAGGTAGTGAGCTGGGTTGAAATTAATAAATAGAGGGAATCCTCCCATTTGATAATAAATGTATACATACATACATACATACATACATACACGAGAAGCGTTCCTGGCGGTATTGTAAAGGTTCCGTACCTGGGAGATCAAGTGATGAGACACCCGTGATGCAGGATCTCCGCTTCAATCCAATGACGCATCGACTTGCTTGATGATTGGTTGGTACGCAGGTCGCTCCGCAACCGGTCCGCATCACCTCACTTCCTCCCCCAGACCTGAAGGTACCTCTCCCCGTCCATCCTCCTCCTCTCCCTCTCCATCCCATCGTCTATCCCTTTCCAGACCCTTATTGTATTTCATCATTCCTATCGTCTCATATCAATAGAGTATTGCTAGTTTTCTTTTGATTCCCGTTCGTTAAGGTGCTGCTTTTCTGTTGCCGTTGTCGCCACCATGAAGTCAACCTTGGTTACAGCCTCTGTGCTGTTGGGCTGTGCTTCCGCCGAGGTTCACAAGCTGAAGCTCAACAAGGTGCCCGTGTCCGAGCAATTTGTGAGTAGACCTCGCTATTCTGGTCATACAAACATTCATCTACACATCTGAAAGCTTGTTGGGACGAATGTCTGACTAAATCGTACCCAGAACTTGCACAACATCGATACCCATGTGCAGGCTCTTGGCCAGAAGTACATGGGAATCCGTCCCAACATCAAGCAGGATCTCCTCAATGAGAACCCGATCAATGACATGGGACGTCATGATGTCCTTGTTGACAACTTCTTGAATGCACAATGTACGAAGCCCTAGTAGTTCTTGCGGGGGAGCTCCTACTTACATCTAGATTCCTCAAAGACTTCTCCGAAATCGAGATCGGTACCCCCCCACAGAAGTTCAAGGTAGTCCTTGACACTGGCAGCTCAAACCTATGGGTGCCCTCCTCGGAGTGTGGCTCTATCGCCTGCTATTTGCATAACAAGTACGACTCATCCTCGTCGTCCACGTACCAGAAGAATGGCAGCGAATTTGCCATCAAGTATGGCTCCGGCAGCCTGAGTGGATTTGTTTCTCAGGATACTCTCAAGATCGGTGACCTGAAGGTGAAGGATCAACTGTTCGCCGAGGCGACTAGTGAGCCCGGTCTTGCTTTTGCCTTTGGCCGCTTTGATGGTATTCTCGGGTTGGGATTTGACACAATTTCTGTCAACAAAATCCCTCCCCCCTTCTATAGCATGCTCGACCAGGGCCTCCTCGACGAGCCAGTCTTTGCTTTTTACCTTGGAGACGCTAACAAGGAAGGCGATGACTCCGTAGCGACATTCGGCGGTGTTGACAAGGATCATTACACTGGCGAGTTGATCAAGATCCCCCTCCGCCGCAAGGCTTACTGGGAGGTTGACCTTGATGCTATTGCCCTTGGCGATAGCGTCGCTGAGCTCGATAACACCGGTGTCATTCTGGATACTGGCACTTCCCTCATCGCCCTGCCGACCACCCTTGCCGAGCTTATGTAAGTCGAGCCTGTGTACTGTGCACATTTGTGATACTCTTACTAACTACTCTGAAGTAACAAGGAAATTGGTGCTAAGAAGGGCTTCACCGGCCAATACTCGGTTGACTGTGACAAGCGTGACTCTTTGCCTGACCTCACATTCACCCTGAGCGGATACAACTTCACCATCGGTCCCTACGACTACACTCTTGAAGTCCAGGGATCTTGCATCAGCGCCTTCATGGGCATGGACTTCCCTGAACCCGTTGGCCCCTTGGCCATCCTGGGTGATGCGTTCCTCAGGAAGTGGTACAGTGTGTACGACCTCGGCAACGGTGCTGTCGGCCTGGCCAAGGCTAAGTAACCAAGTAATCTACCATGTTATGTTTTATTGATTGCTTGTGTATGAATTACAATGGTACATGATAGCCTGGCTCGGTAGTTAGTTGGCCTTTTCAGTTGCGGGAAATCGGCAAAGACTCGTTTGCTCATGACCTCAATCCTGTTTGTTATTGATATTTTTTGTATGACTCAGTGAGTCGCTGGCTATGCTCTAATGACATTCAAACTGGATGCCGATAGTTCTTTATACACTGCGATATTCATGCGTATTTTTGATCTATCGGTATAATTTTTCCCCAATATAAAGGCAGCCCAAACTAGACAACTAATGCTTCGAGCCTTTCTGCTAACTTGATAACTTAGCGTGTAATATTTCCATACGACCTAGGACAAGGGGGCGCGCGGCGCGGCGGAGGGAAAAAGGATGCAGAGTCCCGAGTTGCCAATGATAAAATAGAGAATACCTATCTCAGCTCCATCACGATGACCGAGAAATTGTCTGAGTTGTCATAGGTATGGAATTCTGCCACACGTAGATCGGACTGTTCAGCAAGCATTTCCCACTGTTTTTTTGAGCGCTCCTTTCCGCCCATGGAGACCATCAACGATAGATCGGCCAGTGTCGCCTGCCAGGGTACGTTAGTCTCCGACAAGACCATCTCGTCAATGAGGATCTGCGAATCATGGGCCATTGCCGTGCGTAGGTTCCTAAGGATTTGGATACCCTGGGAGTCGGGATAGGCGTGAAGGATTCTACGGAGGTAGTAGAATTTGGCGCCTTGAGGGTTCGTTTGTATGTCAGTCGGGGACGGTGTGATACTGGGGCAGTTGTTCTGAGTATAGATGCAGGACTTGCCTTTGACGACCTGTGTCTGGAAGATGTCATATGCCATGGTTTCTACTCCATCGATTTTGGGGAGCTGATCGACTGCTTGTGGTAGGTCTTGGAGGATGAGCCATCCGCTGAGATTTGGGTATTTCTGTATGAGTTGGATGCATTGATGGCCGTGGCCACCCCCCACGTCGACAAGGAACGATCTGCGCGAGTCCTGAGGGCGCCGGATTATAGCACAAGCTTCCTTTTCGAATCGGCTGAACCCAACTGCCCAGTCGGTTGATTCGAGTGCAGTCATTACATGCTGTAGGGCATTAAACCGTTCCGGCCGTTGAGCAAGCCACGCAAAGCATGTAAGGTCAGTATGGAAGGCCTTCTGGAAAGGCGTATTGGTGTTGGTGGTGATCTCCTGGTAGCGCGTCTCTGCGAAGAAGCTAGGGAATTCTTGGATGGCTGGGCCACAATTGTCGAAGCTGTGCGGTCATTAGTGGAGATTCATACATTGACATGTATCGGTGGGGAATATACATACGCATGGTAAATGAAGGCTTCGGCCATCTGACTTGCCAGAGTATGAGTTGCTTTGTTTGCTTTGAACTTTCCATGATCTGCTTCTATGACGAAGCCATTTGACGCAAGATAGCGAAGTATACATTCTAGATGTCACAGGCAGTAGGGGTCAGAGACCGTATGTCGCGATCAATGGACTGAAGCATTGCATCAATGTCTTACCGAATAACTGAGGACTCGCACCGGTTTTCTCGGCGACCTGATCTACCTGCAGAGGTATCTCGCTTTGGGAAAATGACCGGAATAACCCCGATTCGATACCGAGACGAACGGCGCCAATCTGCAAGTGCTGGAAAAGCGTAAGTCGGGTAAGGACAACATAGTGAAAGCCATATGTTTAGTATAGTTCCGACTGTACGTAATACAAGCTTACATTGTTGAAAATGCCCATGAGCAAGTCTTTGGGCGTCTCCAATTCTAACAGGAACTGACGGAGAGCATCCCGGATCTTAGCCCGGCCTGCCCCATCGGCTTCTCCAGCAAGAAATCGGGCTTGGGCGATGATTGATTCCATTTGGAACCTGAAGATAGGATAATGGTTAAGGATACAAGTAGAATAGATTGGTAGTTGGTATATTTTGACAAGATAGTCCTCTTTGGGGGTCATTTATAGATCTAGATGTCTCTTGCTCCACGGAGTTTCCGTGGAGCTGAAGCTCTGTGATTGGCCAACGATAAAATACAGAAGATTGATGCTAGGTATAGTGTGTCGCAGGTAAACTTGTTCTCTCTTGAGCTGCCTGTGCAGGCATTCAGGATGGCAGAGAATACTAGCGATTGCAGTGGCCATCGCTGAGCCTAGACCGGTGATGTGGCGTGACACTTTGTATAGTGAGCGGCAAAGGTTACCGGCTCTCAACACATGCCCAGGTCAAGCCCTAAATCTCAAACTAAGCTTAATGAGACAGTTTTGCTCCCTCACGTGAAGTTTGATTTTAAAGGAAAACCTGGCGGGCGGATGACACCGGAAAATCAATTTATACCCAGCCAACTAATCAGTTGTTCTTCCACTACACGAGCAAACTACGAGACAGGTTATGAGCATGTCCATAGCCAAGATTGTCAACAAAGTCTACTATTTCTGACTCATCAGGGTATGCTTTTTGAGTTGTTCAAGTCTTGACCAAGGACATTGTGGCTTTGGCTGCATGAACTACTAGGAGCTTTAAAAGAAGCTGATTGTAACTCCCGTGCGCATGTCCACTTTCTTATATAAGAGAGGGTCTCGCCCCCCCCCCCGCACGGGCTCCCGAAATCAATAACAAAGAGCGGGTCTTGGCAACCAAACCTTGTTTCTTTCTACCTTTCCCGGCAAACGGTTCAAACTGCTTTTCCTCTCTTTCATCATCATCATCACCACCACCGTTCGTTCAACTCCTCCTACGATCCAACAACTGCTTCATCCTCGCTCAATCCCAACCCCTTACTTACTCAGACTTTTCTTTCACTGCGCTTTTGCGGAGCATCTGCCGTTTGTCTCTATTATCTTTTTGTAGATATTTTCGTTGTCGTTCTCCGTCGCGTCATCTTGCGGCGATCGACCTAAGCTACCTGAATCCACATCCCACCCCGCGAATCAAGTTGAACATTTTGTGTCGCCTTAGCTGTCAGACATCGGCTTTACACACCCTCGAGTCTAAGCTAGGGCCGGTTCAAGCTTACCCTCGTCGGTTTTCCAATCCGTCGTCAGGCGCGTCGGGCATGGCGCCATAGCTGCTGGAACCGGGTCTCTACTCGCAATTCATGCATATTACCCCTTTGTCAATTGCTATTGTCAATAGAGGTAGGGTCATCAAACATTAAATCATTAAAGGAAAGAGAAACGAGCCAAGTCATACAGGAGCATGCTTCTTCGGTTACCGCCCAGCCTCCACTACCCGATCACCGTAACGTCGCTGCTGAAACAGCCCGGCGACTCGGTGGAGAGGGACGAGGCGCTGTTCTGGTATGTCTACCAGACGACCGTCACCGAGGGTGATGGGCTGGGCAATAAGATTGAGGTCAAACGCAAGTTCCCGACCAAGTTTGAATCGACTGTTGATGGCGAAGTGGTTCAATGGAAGATTGCAAAGGGGGATATCATCGATGAACCGTAAGTTCTATCGCCTTGTGGCACAATTCCTTGGCGAGCGTTACATGGTGGCGATTGTTAACTGGAGGACAGTGTGGAGGTCATCGAGATTGATGAGCCATGTGCTCACGAAGTCCAGTTTGGGGGCCTCTGTGCGGAGTGTGGCAAGGACATGACCGAGTAAGTAGGAGAGATGTCATACACGACACTATACCTCTCTACCGCACAAGCACTAACCTTGCGATCTCCTACAGGTCTACATACAATACGGAAGTGACAGATTCGATGCGCGCAACGATTCAGATGGTCCATGACAACACCGCGCTAACCGTGAGCGAGAAGGAGGCTGCGCGAGTGGAGGAAGATGCGAAACGCCGGCTGCTGTCAAATAGAAAACTTTCTCTGGTGGTGGATCTTGACCAGACTATCATCCATGCCACCGTCGATCCAACCGTTGGAGAGTGGATGGAAGACAAGGATAACCCAAACCATCAAGCGCTAAGCGATGTTCGAGCATTCCAATTGGTAGATGATGGCCCGGGAATGCGCGGTTGCTGGTACTATGTCAAGTTACGACCAGGTTTAGAGTCATTCTTGCAGAACGTCTCAGAGCTCTTTGAATTGCACATCTACACCATGGGTACCCGAGCATATGCGCAACATATTGCAAGTATCATAGATCCAGACCGAAAGCTGTTCGGCGATCGCATCCTCAGTCGTGATGAGAGTGGAAGCTTGACGGCTAAGAACCTCCATCGTTTGTTCCCAGTGGACACGAAGATGGTTGTTATCATCGACGATCGTGGTGACGTTTGGCGGTGGAGCCCTAACCTTATTAAGGTTTCTCCGTACGACTTCTTTGTTGGCATAGGGGATATTAACTCGAGTTTTTTGCCAAAGAAACAGGAGCTGGGGGCAGTCAGCAAGACTGGGGAGAAGGCAGGGACGAGACACACAAAACCTCCCCCACTGGAACATCATGTCAACGGCACGACAGCGAAACCAGAAGGAGAAGTGTCGGCGTTAGAACAGCTTGTGACCATGGGTGGCGGAGACAACCCGAGACTACTACAAGAACAGACTGACGCGCAGGAAGAGACAATAATGCACCAGGTGGAAGACCGCCCTCTACTGCAGAAACAGAAGGAACTAGATGCTGAAGAAGATTCTGCAGAAAGTATTGATTCCTCTTCCAGTATGGATGAGTCGCAAGACTCGAGCAAACATCGGCATCATTTACTGGAGGATAATGATCGGGAACTCTTCCAGCTGGAAGAGCGGCTTGAGCAGGTGCATAAACAGTTCTTTGAAGAGTATGATTTGAGGCGAACGAGAGGGTTGGGTGGGAGAGTGGCAGCTTTGAGAGGCGAGAAGACGCCTTCGAAAGAGAAGGACGTTGATCTGAAACTGGTGCCTGACATCAAGGATATCATGCCACAGATTAAGCGCCAGATCCTTGGCGGGGTGATTCTGGTATTTTCCGGAGTACTTCCGCTCGGAACCGATACTCAGAACGCCGACATATCTTTATGGGCGAAGAGTTTTGGGGCTGTTATTTCTCAGAAGATCAATGTGAAGACCACCCATCTGGTGGCCGGCCGTAACCGCACGGCTAAGGTTCGGGAGGCGACGCGGTACACCAACGTCAAGATCGTCACAACACAGTGGCTTTTGGACTGCCTGACGCAATGGAAATGGCTGGACGAGGAGCCGTACTTACTTCCCGTACACCCTGATGACCGAGGAGAGCCAATCTCGCCTGGCTCTAAGGAGATGGAAAGCGGATGGCTTTCGTCATCTGAAGACACGGGAGATTTTTGGACCGAGGAAGAGGACGCTTCAGAATCCACAGAAGACCTTCTCAAGTCCACCGGTCTCGACGAGCATTCACCGATTGGATACGACGAAGACCAGCAAGCTGCTGTCCACGAGGAACTAAAAGAGTTCCTTGGTAGTGACGATGAAAGCGAAAGCGACAGTGAAGTATCGTCTTGGGCAGAGGAAGCGACACCCAACAAGAAACGTAAGCGTGACGAAGGCGCAGAAGGCGGGGACGAAGAAGAAAGTCAAGAGGAAGGCGATCAGCCACGCTCGCGCCTATCACAGCGTATCAAGCGCTCCTACGAGCGAAGTACGGGACTGAAAGAAGTCGCGACTGCGGCGACCGACGATCCCGCTCGAAAATCGCCCATGCTTACAGAATCGAACGATGAAGGCGCGCAAAAAGAATCGGATGAGCCTGCATCTCAAGACCTAAATGCCAACTTCCCCGAAGACCCCGCGGAGGACGACGACGAGCTCGAGCGGGAGATGATGGCTGCTTTCGAAGATGGCGACTATGACGCCAAAGCGGAAGAGGACATTGCGGCGGGAAACAGATGATCTATTTCCTTCTTATTTGTTTTTGCTCGACTTCTCCTTCACCTGTTCATATTGGGGCGTTGAGGTGTATGTGACGATCCTGTAGCTGCCTCTTCGACAGTTACACGGTCAACACTATATTACTGTTGATATACCATTTTGGTATCCCAGATTGGCTAAGATTTAGTATGCTTTCTCATTCCGTTGCAATTGGTGCGATGCAATGATGGCATAGCGATGGCGTTGGGTATCTGACTCACATCTGATTGAACTGTCTGATAAGTTGTTCATAGTTATGTTTCGATAGTATCAAAGACAAAAAAAAGAAATCTCAAATTTTTGGATATCATATACCATATACAACGCCCATATCTTCATATACAGAGTTCGATCAGAAATCATCGCATAATTATCATCCAACATCATATCCGGTAAAAAAAAAAAAAAAAGAGAGAGAGAGAAAAGAAAGACCAAGAAATTAATCATATACATCGCGATTAACCTGCCACGACAAGATCATCATCCAAAGAAAGAAGATAGTATTCACCAGTTCAAAGGCAAAAGCCGTCTTCCAGCAGTCACCTAGTACCGACCAGATTAGTATGCATTGACGGGGATGATCAATCGGATAACAAAAGAACAAATTTTAGAGAGAGAGAACTCACAAATAGTCTTCTGCGTCAACCAAGCCAAGGTCTGCATATTATTCCCGCCAGCCCGATTATCAACGACATAGATCTGACAATTATCATCGACGTTCCCGACCACGCCGTACAACTGCAACGAGGTCTCAATCAACCCCGTCAACCAGAGGACGAAGAGGATGAAACTGCCCAGGATGATAATGCCAGGGAGCAGGAAGCGCTGGGCGGCGAGGATGAGAATGAGAATGATGAAGAAGATGCCGAGGGCGCCAGAGACGACCATGAATGGGAATAGCCTTTTTTTTTATCTTTGGTATTAGTATATATTAATCTATTTTTTAATCTTTTTTGGTAATGAAGCAAGGAAGATAAGTATGTGATAAGAGGAGGAATATGTACCATGGTGTACCGAGACGCATCTCAGATTGTACAGACATGAGCCAAGCAAAGATGCCCATACAGATGGCCGAAGCCGATAAGACGATGAGAATCCAGATGTTGAGTTGGAGTTCGGGCCAGTGGTAGCGTCTGCGACGGTAGACGACGGCCATTTTTCGCTTCCTTGCCCTATGGGGACGTTTGATGCTGTGAGATGATTGTACGAAGCAGTAGGCTGGGGGGGGGGAAAGTTGAATATGTGGGAAAGAATGTAGTATGTACGTGAGTCAATGATTGTTCCCGTCGGGAATATAATTTCAAACCAGGCCTGTCTGCATGTACATATACTATATTATATATACAATCCCCGCCGGATGGACTTGTATAGGCTGTTTTGATCAGGTACACTTGCACGGGGAGGAATGAAAGTACGGTCACTTCTTCCCACCGCAACAACTGGACCCGTCGGGCAGAAGACAAGGCGACTCAATTGGTGGCGCAAATGCAGATACAAGAATGAAACGCAGAAAGACAGCGCATCAGCGCCGTAATGGTGTTGGGCTGTTGTTTCGGGGTTCCTTGCGATTGGACTGGCACGGCGAGTCGAGAACCACTGTTATGTAAGCGGTGAGAGACTCATCGTTCTGGGTGACTCTGGAATTCTTTATTTAGACAATCAAGTACATAGGAATTGAAAGAAGAGAAATCTATCATCAAATGGAGAGGAAGGTGGAGCATTTGATGTAAAATGAGGTGGCAGGTGGAAATTGCGGTGGCAGGGGATTTGATATCCCCTAACTATAATTACCCTAATTTTAGCTACCTTTTTCTTTACCACCATATACACCAACACAAAAGTCTTGAAATCGTTTCAATGTCATTGTACACATCCTAATACCGTTTGGTCATATCTAAACATAATGTAATAATAGTAAGAAAAAAAAAATAAAATAAAATAAATAAGAAAATTTCCCATCCAATCGCCATCTACCCGTCGATAAGTCTACATCAGCTCATAGGAGGGTGTCACCCAGAGCACTGCGCACCAACGAGCAACCGGTCCGAATGGTTTCGGAGGCGCCTACTGACTCCAGGCTGGGGTTGACCTCCACCAAGTCCATGGCGACTAGGTTGCCCGTCTCATGCACACACTCGCAGATGAAATCACCCTCACGGAGAGTCAGACCGCCACGCACGGGAGTACCGGTGCTGGGAGCCCACTGTGGATCCAGAGCATCGACGTCGAATGAAAGGTGGATAGGGGTATCATTTCCAACATGGGCCAGAGCCATCTCAACCACACGGCCAATGCCGTACCTGTTAGGGGTTAGCTTTTTGGCTCCTTTCCCTGTGCGAAGGGAAGAAAAAGACTCACCGGTCAATGTCATGCATGCTGAAGGCCTTAATGCCATGCTCCCGAAGGATTTGCTTCTCGCCGCGATCAACATCACGCAGACCAATATAGACCAGCTTACGGGTGCTGACGATGTGCTCATCCTGCAACCAGCCGAAGATATCCTTCTTCTCCTCGCGGGCTAGGCGAGTCAAGAACGCCATGGGCATACCGTGGATGTTTCCACTAGGACTCATCTCCGGAATGTTGATATCGGCATGCGCATCAACCCAGATGACGGCCAGTTCCCGACCCAGGCGTTCGCGGGTAGCCTTGGCTGAGCCGGAGATGGATCCGATGGCGATCGAGTGATCACCTCCCAGCGTCAAGACCATCTGACCCTGCTTGGCCTTCTCGTAGACCTGGGCGCTCAGCGCTTCGGTCACGGCACTCACAGCGCGCGGCTTCTTCATGCCGCGGTGGTCGGGGTCCTCGGCCGGGATCTGGTTTTCGTAGTAGTGGACGGTGTTGTCATAGTCGAGGGTATAGCCAAGGTCGTCGCGGAGTTGATCGAGGAGACCAGCCTCGACCAGGGCCATAGGGGCAGCCTCAACGCCAAGCTTGCACTGTGTCAATGAATAAGAACCCGGTTAGTTATGGTCTTGTGACCTCAGTGATCGACACCCGCGCGCGTGGGAGGATCATCATACCTGGCCGCCATTGAAGCCGACTGCGACCACACCCAGGTTTCCGGGCTTGGACAGGAAGCGTTGTTTGATAGTTGAAGGTTGAGTCATGGTGAGTGAAAGGGAAGAATTGGAGTGTGGATAAGAGAGACAGAGAGAGACAGAGAGAGAGACAGAGAGACAGAGAGAGAGAGAGAGAGAGAGAGAGAGAGAGAGAGAGAGAGAGAGAGAGAGAGAGAGAGAGAGAGAGAGA